TAATGAACACTGTCATAAACAAAGTTATCTTCAAGTACACCTTTGCGGGCGTTAAAATCCCCATATAACAACATTTTGCATTGATCATATTTACTATGGAATGTAGAAATTTTGCCCTCAATAGTATCAAAGATATCATCGGCAGAATATCTAGAGGAGCCTTTTGGTGTAATATAAAGTAAAGCAAGTATCAATGGGATGGGAACTGGAAAGGCTAACGTTATATATTGTCATTTTTAGATTCCATATATGTGATATACTTGCAAAGGCTATGTTTAATTAAAATAAGTAAACCCCGTGACGGTCTGGCCCGAGTTTTACAAGGCGCACGAATTTTCGAATAACTTTGGTACCCTTCAAGGGAAAACGTTTGCCTTTTTGTAGCCCACGTTACTACCAGCCCGATTATATCATACGCATTAATATAAGAAGTAACGTTGTTATCTCCCCATTTTGATTTAAGCCCACTAACGTTCCAAACAACAAAGTTTAGCCCACACAAAAAGTTAAGCAAATTAGAATTTTGTTCACAGACTTGATATTCGGAGCCTTGGCCGGATCCCTGGTCAGAAAGAGCACCGGTACGTCGACCGGAGTTTGGATTCTTAACTGACAAGCGTTTTACCTGTTCGGACACATCATCATAGCAGTACACTGACTTTCCTTCCCTGGATTTCACGATGAATTTGTCGTAATTTAACCATGCTTTGATATTCTTGTCCCGATCTAAAAGTTCTTTTCTCTTAGAAACTTGTGTGCTCCGAACAGCCCTGGTACGTGGCATGTAGTCCTCATCAATGAAAATAGTTGTGCCTTTCAACTTAAACGCATTACGTTATACATGCTGCTTGTCTTTGAAGAATGAAAACATGACAATGATTGGTCTGCACCCTTTAATTATGTATGGTAGACGATGAGCTCGCTCAATCAGTATCGAACCTGAAATTTCTAATTTAGTAACTATTACTTCTCCAACTTTATCCCGAGATGTATCCCAGTATTCGTCTTCACTGTCCTGTCCATACCTTTGAAAATTAAATTGCACCGTTTGAATCTATTTCTCATATCCGTATAGTCCTCATGCATTTTTTTCATTTTAACCTTTGTTTGTCTCAGTTGTTCATTGTATAATTGTTGTATTTCTTCAAAATTCGTCTTTGTTTCTAATTGTTCTATTTTTGTTGCATTGTCCTCCGTTCTTTCTTTAATTTCGTTCTATATTATTCATTCAGTTTTCCAATTGCTCGAAACACGACTTAACATCTCTACAGTCTATTGCTATCCCATCTCTTTTGTCGAGAATTGCAGTAATGTCATCTTTCGTGATTGGTACTTCTGCCGAGGGTTTCGATCTAGTTTGTCCAGGACTTGGTCCAGGATTAGTTTCGACATCTTCCGAAAGAATTAGTAAAAAAGCCAAGGTTAATCGACATGAAGCACTCATTTTCATATTGCCGCATAACAAAGGAAAGTTAGTATGCAAATGACAACCGTCCATACCTTGTCGACGGTTTGCACCAGCAAAAAGTCCGATTTGTTGTCTATATTGATTCGACGAGATGCCCATTTCGAGGCAGTGTTGTCACACAACGAATTCCTCTGTCCAATTAACATAATCAGTATTTTCATCACAAAGTCCAAAAAACTGTAGAAAAGAGCAGAGCGATCAGAGTCACCTTATTTCAGTGAAAGAATTGTTTATGAAATCCAACCTAGATAGTCTATCTTGTACAGTAGCAACCAGTTGCTTGACCATTGTACTGTCCTCAGTAACCATAGAAGTAGTAGTCTGGTGTGCTTGGCTCTGCTGTATTTTATATATATTTGTAATTCTCTTACCTTGTATGCCTTTCCAAAAGGCTATTCATAGTTCATCCTCAACTGCCAATGCATCAATTCCACCCCGCTCACTGATATTGGATTCAATTTGACAACAATATGTAGCTATGGTTTCTCCTTCCTCCTGTTATTGTAGAATTTCTGTATAAGTGTTGCCCCATGTCCACAACACCATATATATACCTTCAATCTTGCGTTTCCATACGCATGATAAATTGTACAGCCTCACCTCTCACTGACTTGCGAGTAATATGAGTGGGCAGTTTCTATTTGTTTGTGTACGGCTTATCCTTTAATAAACAATGTACCTAATGTTTCTAAGGCACAAAGATTGTGTCTCTCTTTGCTTTAGGAACACCTGGAAAAAGTAGATACTCGAGGTGGGTGTATGAAACTAGTTGGAGACTAATAGAAGGTGGACACAATTGAAAGACAATAGTATTGGAAATGAAATACACATACACCAAAATATAAAGTTAAATTTCCTGGCTTTAATACCTGTCAAAATAATTACAAGAACGAAAAAAAATACAATGAATAAAGTCACTAAAATAGGGGACTGCTTCGAGAAGTGTGTATTGGTGATAACTAACAGTTCCAGAATGTAGAAATGGATGACAGTCAATGACTTCTGCAACACAACGACGAAGAAATACAGGAGTTTTGCTTGCAGAGGGCTCCGCTGATAGCAGGAGATTGCAGAGCAGTTTATACAAAACTCACAGAATGATGATTGAAGCCTGTATCACTTTCTCACAATATCGCAGCAACATCACACAGGGTACTCAGTCTAGTCTATTTATATGCATAAATAGCCCAGATTAAGGTACACCACTTGGCTTGCACATGAGCTAATCAGAATGTGGTCTTGCTAGTAGCTGTCTCACGTAGGCCGTAAACATCTTTTGTTACGTAAATCAAAGCACACCGGGTAGATTCCAATTGTCCTTAGGGAGTTGTAAACATCCTTTGTTATGTAAATCACAAGCACACCTGGTAGATTCCAATTGTCCTTCCACGATTGTAAACATCCTTTGTTATGTAAATCAAAGCACACCTGGTAGATTCCAATTGTCCTTAGGGAGTTGTAAACATCATTTGTTATGTAAATCACAAGCACACCTGGTAAATTGCAATTGTCCTTCCACGGTTGTAAACATCCTTTGTTATGTAAATCACAAGCACACCTGGTAAATTGCAATTGTCCTTCCACGGTTGTAAACATCCTTTGTTATGTAAATCACAAGCACACCTGGTAGATTCCAATTGTCCTTCCACGGTTGTAAACATCCTTTGTTATGTAAATCACAAGCACACCTGGTAGATTCCAATTGTCCTTCCACGATTGTAAACATCCTTTGTTATGTAAATCAAAGCACACCTGGTAGATTTAAATTGCCCTTCCAGAGTGATAAACAAGTATTACCTGTCAATCACCTTTATGACAGTCACACGGCAATGCACACCGTTTCTTCCCATGATTCCGTGCACACTTCTATTTGCAGGGTCTGAGGTAATATGAAAAAAAACATAGATTAAAGAATGCTGACATTGACCTTTGTTTCGCTGATTCCTGATTTACTAATTAAAATATTTATAGTTATTTTCAACAACTGCTTTGTAAATATTGTGGGTATTGATTTATTTTTTAACTAGTTATACTGTTGTATCATGGTTAATGTATATCAATATTTGTTACAATAACTCTATATTATTAATAAGCAAAAATGAAAAAAATAAATGTTTTAGGGAAGTAATATGTTTCCACCATATTGGATTTTCAAATGATTTTGGAATATAAATTGAACCGTAGAGGGCGCTTTTGGGGGATGTAAACCGCTTATGTTTTGTTTAATTGTTTGGTTATACATTGATGAGCTTACAATTAATGGAAAGTTTTTTTAGAGTCACAATTTTTTTAATTGTTTCAATTGTTTTAATTGTGAACATTGGCACCACATACTTTAAAATGTCTTCTAAAATTGATTTGAAATCAACGAAAACTTTATAGTAGAAAAATTAGATGCATGTTTTTTCTACTGTGATATGGCTTAAAATAAAGGAGAGAGTGGAAATCGAATGCGCTTACCTATCTCTAAGATTTCTACAGACAGACAGCTTGCAACCCAAAAGAGTAAAAAACAACCTTCAAAACAATCTTCCCAATGACATTAAATGCAATTCCAACAATATAACCATACAATTTAAAAAAATTGACAAGTTGCTTGAAAATAGGGGAGGTTTAGAGTTGATGTTAGCACAGGGCTGTATAGGAAAGATATTAGGTTCGCCTCACACCCCCTCTATGGTTCAATTTTCTATCCCACAATCCTTTTCAAAATCCAGTATGGTGGAAACACATTTCTGTCCTACAGTTATGTGCGTTGTATCAAATTTTCTATAACGCCCTCTTGCGACAGCTTCCAACTGCAATGTTTTTTTCTTGTTTTTAACTAATTCTCATGAAAATATTATAATCAGTCAGTAAACCCGAAATATAGAAATTTTGTGTATATTTGTTATAATAAATAAAAACAAAACAAAGAACAGTTAGATAGATTTACAGTCAGGTCCCTGAATTCCTAGACTCAAGCACAACCTTTACCACCCTCATTGAATAGCATTTGCATGGACCCAAAGTATTATAATAATCAGAAAGCATTGTGTCCATTGAACCACGATTAGACCTACAAATTGCCCAGCCTCTTTCAACGACCAAAGAACATATCTGGGCGTGGATTGATTGACTAAGTCAGTTACGTACGTGCTTGCAATTGTTATCGCAATGCACCGAGTATTTGTAGTTTGATACTTTTGATAGTTTAGTGTATGCGCAGCTATCCTCTTACGTAAAGTGTGACACGTATGGAAATCAGTGCGTAGTTAGATTTACTGAATCAGACAAAGAACAACTTAACGTAGCCGACAATCAGACTGAGCCCCATCGGTGCTGTTCGACGCAATCACTTAGCTATTTCGTGCCAGTGCGAGGTATTTCCATAGCCAACGCTCACAAAAGACGGCAGTGTCACAGTGCATGATCCGAGTCGATGTGTATTCATATGCAAAGAGAAGCCACATGAGTTCACCTAGCTTTTGTTAAAAGTAAGGCGTAAACATAATCTTGCCTGGTATACGTCGTCTGAAAGTACACAGTAGACATGGACCACCAGGAAAGAATATTGCTTTTCCTGACAGTGTCCGTGGTCATTCTATCTTCATCCTTTGCAGGTGAGTTGTATATAAACTCGTGACTTAAAGTGTTAAAACTTTTGTCGGATACAGGAACTCTCTCCTTAAAATAACGAGCCAAATATAAGGCGGAAGTAAATTTGTGTTGATAATTTTTACCACTGTCTAGAATTTTAAAACGTCAATACAATTGCTTATTGTAAACCTTCTTCAGAATCTGTTTTCACTTATTTTTTTTTTGTTACTTTTTACACCGCATGTTTCTGAGAATTAAAACTTTTGCGTTGACTATTCGGCCTCATACAAAAATATACCCACCATTTCTTAAAGTGATAAGGTATAGGTATTACCCACTCTGGATATAGACATCTTAGAATAGCAAGGTAATAGTTACATTCCATTGTAGTGAATACGTAAAAATAAACCTTTTCGGGAAAAGTATCGCATCGCGAGATGATATTAATATCGCTGAGACAAACTATTGTGCTTAGTTCGAATCGTCCTTTTTTAAATGACCTTTCTACTTATATGTCACGGCAATATAATGGTCACGATTGACGTAATATGGCGTCGGAATTCACTGCTGCGTTGAAATCGATGTTGATATATCAAGTACGAACCCATTGTTGTTCGTTTTGGATGGCCAAGCAGTGTAGCAGTGAAAACTTACAAGAAGATTAGCATTGATAGTAAGGTTTGGTACAAAGCATTCAGACAGGGATGACTTAACACGACCGTGCGATTCCCACAAGGTCATTTCCGCATAGTTTATTTAACTTTAATTTGATTTAAACTCTTATTTTTATTTACCAGCCAATTGTCAACTAGGTTATGATGAACGTGTATTTGCTGTTTATAATGATAAAATATCGTGTGAGTCTGCTGGCCACTGTTGGGACGATGATGTAACCAGTGAAATACCTTCATGTTATTACGACGGTAAGTACAGATATAGACTAAATACTGGTTACTGTTGGGAAGACGATGTAACCAGTGAAATACCGTCATGTTATTACGACGGTGAATACAGATATAGACTAAATACTGGTTACTGTTGGGAAGACGATGTAACCAGTTAAATACCGTCCTGTTATTACGACGGTAAGTACAGATATAGAGTCAATACTGGCCACTGTTGGGAAAACGATGTAACCAGTGAAATACCTTCATGTTATTACGACGATAAGTACAGATATAGAGTCAATACTGGTTACTGTTGGGAAGACGATGTAACCAGTTAAATACCTTCATGCTATTACTACGATGAGTACAGATATAGAGTGAATACTGGTTACTGTTGGGATGACGATGTAACCAGTGAAATACCATCATATTATTACGACTGTAAGTACAGATATAGAGTGAATACTGGTTACTGTTGGGACGATGATGTAACCAGTGAAATACCGTCACGTTATTACGACGATAAGTACATATATAGAGTAAATACTGGTTACTATTGGGACGGCGATGTAACCAGTGGAATACCGTTATGTTATTACGACGATAAGTACAGATATAGAGTAAATACTGGTTACTGTTGGGAAGACGATGTAACCAGTTAAATACCTTCATGTTATTACTACGATGAGTACAGATATAGAGTGAATACTGGTTACTGTTAGGATGACGATGTAACCAGTGAAATACCGTCATGTTATTACGACGATAAGTACAGATATAGAGTGAATACTGGTTACTATTGGAACGGCGATGTAACCAGTGGAATACCGTTATGTTATTACGACGATAAGTACAGATATAGAGTGAATACTGGTTACTATTGGGACGACGATGTAACCAGTGAAATACCGTCATTTTATTACTACGGTAAGTACAGATATAGAGTGAATACTGGTTACTGTTGGGACGACGATGTAACCAGTGAAATACCGTCATTTTATTACTACGATGAGTACAGATATAGAGTGAATACTGGTTACTGTTGGGACGATGATGTAACCAGTGAAATACCTTCATGTTATTACGACGGTAAGTACAGATATAGAGTAAATACTGGTTACTGTTGGGACGATGATGTAACCAGTGAAATACCGTCATGTTATTACTACGGTAAGTACAGATATAGAGTAAATACTGGTTACTGTTGGGACGATGATGTAACCAGTGAAATGCTTTCATGTTATTACTACGGTAAGTACAGATATAGAGTAAATACTGGTTACTGTTGGGACAAAAGAGTAACCAGTGAATTGAAATATGTAGTTATAAATCACCTGGTTATTCTACCGGAGAAAAGTTGGATGCTGCCTGAATGAATGCTTAGTTTCTCAGCCTCTGTTGATAACTGTTTCGCCGTGTATTCAGAAAACGTTAGGGGCGTTTGAAAGAAAAAGACAAAATATATTTTAATTTTTTTTAAATTATTATTAAATTTAATTAATTGTAAAATTCACGCACGTTAGTCAAACCATAGACCTTAGAAAACGCTTTTTTATATGTTTGATAAGTTATGCTGCGCCAATATTCCCATTTGCCAGTGTATAACGGGTGCACTATGCTATATCTGCTCTAAATATGATGAAAAATCCACTTGTTATAATGACACAAATTTTGACAGGTCATTGTTTACGTTTAGGCAGTTTTGTTTTCTTGTAGAGAAAACTGACCATTTTTATTTCCCTTTTCTGTTTTCATAGTGAAATAAAAACTGTTAACTTTGCAATTTTTAGTTTCACTCGTATCAATAGAATGGGCTTGGCTATTCAGTTTTAATCAAATGTAATTTTTCTGATTATATTCTAACCACAAAGTTGGCTCATTTTGTGTTGCTACTCCCTGGCAGCCATGTTTGGCTTATGTAACAGGAGAGGATGTAACAGTGGTGTTGACATAGCTTTATTGTCAGTTTCACTAAGGTGTGAATTGGGTAGGGGATTATAACTAAGGTTACATGAAAGGGATACCCACAGTAGCATGTCCCTGTTTTCTAAGGTCTATGGTCAAACTCGGTGGGTATTCTTAAAACCGGAGGAGTCGTCGCCTGCGCATGTGGCCATGGAAGACGGCCATATGATTTTGCACGGTAATAACAATACGTATATTTTTGGCTGACTCACAATCCAAAAGTCAATGTGAAACTATAAAATGCTGAAAAATATTTTTAATTCTCTAAATTATTTTCAAATTACTTGATGTCGCTACTGATTACATCACTCGTATACAGATCAACTAAGAGAACATACAATATGTGTTTATTTCGAATATATTATGTTTATTGTTTGTGCATTTCAAATAATTCTATTTTTAGAATAAATACTTAGACCGAAAACTGCCAGTGAAAACTGTACGTGTAATTCATCGAAATTATTCCTTCATTGTGACATAGAGGGACTGTGATTGTGATTACCAGCCGGGTTTTGCAAGCGAGTCTAATCAGGGAGTTTCGGTGGTAATTCGTCATTACATGTTCCAACGATAACACATACCTAACATCAGCCCTAGATGGTTTCAATCACTACTTGATCTTTATTTCAACAGATACATGCAATTACGGACATTTTCGTGGAAATTTGGAGCAGTGTATAAACATGTCATTGTAAAACGAGTAGGGTGGGTATGTGGGTGCATTAGCCGGGTTGTATAACGTTACTTCACTACAATACTGCTACACTATTACAAACATTATGATGCAATTACAACTTGGTGTTTGTTTCAGACTCTTGCAATGACGGACATTTTCGTGGAAGTTTGGGGCAGTGTATTCCATGTCACTGTAAAGTTCAATGTCATAAGAAAACTGGAGTGTGTATGAGTGGGTGTGTGGATGGATACACTGGAGATAACTGTCAAACAAAACAAGGTATGATGGTTACGATGCGTGGTAATGTAGTATATCCAAAAACACAAATCCTGTGTTTCCAGTAATCCTTCCCACTAATATTTCGGGGGACTTTGAAATCGAAATGTCCAATTTATGCAAATGACCCTAAAATTACCCTCTTTATTGGGCATGGTCATTTCACGTAATTGTAAATATAACACTATTTTCATTTTCAGGATTATGTTATATTAATAACCCAGCCCAAGCGACGATAACAACACACGCTAAAACGCAAAGTCTCATGGGTAGACACTTGTTTGTAAACAATGACACGCTATGGCCATCTGACGCATGCGCAGGTGACGAATCCCCCGCTTTAAGTAACGTCATTTAACAACGAAGTTCTTCTGCGACCTAGTCTGATGCAAGAGATATCATAAACAGGTTGATTTTTTTATGATGTGTGGCAGCCCACCAATAACAAAATACATAAGCGTTTTAACATTTCCTATTTTCCGTGCATGGATGGTCCACAATATGATAGTGACAATTCTTGTATATGTCCCTACAGCTGCTCCACCGGATCAACCAGATGAGATGGAAATAGTAGCCGCAGTTGTTGTGATTATTGTCATGATTGTCATATTCTCTATTGCAACAGCGTATGTGGTCCGGGGGTAAGTAGACTTATATGTGATGATAACATTTATTTATTAATTAATTAATTAATTAATTAGTTAATTAACTTGAATTAATTAACTATTTAATTAATTAACTATTTAATTAATTTATTAATTTATTTATTTATTCATTCATTCATTCATTCATTCATCCATTTATCCATTCATTCATTTATTTTTTCATTTATTTATTTATATATTTATTTATTTATTTATTCACTCAGCCGAAGATGCCCTGCATGGAACAAGGATCCAAACCCTGCAACTAGAATGACGACACAGCATGAAACTAATCCTTGTACGTTTCTAGGTAACAAAACGTGCATGCATTTCGCATCTCTCCGAGTCCCCAACAAAACTCTCACAACCCCCAAGAATCAATATAATTAGCAGACAAGTAAATTTTGTAATGTTAGACATTGATATAATTCAACAGCGTTATCAAATGTTTCTTCATAAATGTTCATTTATTGACTTCCTTCCTAATTAGATGAACGACGACGACGTCCGGAGGATTTATACTGGTCAAATGAGAACACCCCTAGAACACAATTACGTAATATAAATCACGGTACTCCTCGACAGAGCCCCCGTCCGCCTGTTGCTGCTGCTGCTGACGAATTTCAAAGAAATCATATGACGTCATCGACAGACGAACACCCGAGTACTTCTAACGAAGTCGCGGTAGTAGCATCAACGGAGATTGATTCTACACACGATACAAGTCGATACGAGCGATCAAATCAATCCGTCGATAAGCCTGCTTTGCTGAACGATGAACAGGGAACGAATGGTGATGACGATGAGTTACCCCAAGTTGATGACGAGGTTGTACCCAGTGCGATGCCACAGCGCCCAGCGAACAACGATGACAAAACCACCGATGTAAAAGACGAACATCAAACTGTGGAACACGTGGGTGAACCTGAGCTACCGGTAATACAGAGTGACGAACACCAAACAGTGACACCCGTGAGTGAACCTGAGCTACCGGCAATACAGAGTGACGAACACCAAACTGTGGTACACGTGAGTGAACCTGGGCCAACGGTAATACAGAGTGACGAACACCAAACTGTGGCTCAAGTGGGTGAACCTGGGCCAACGGTAATACAGAGTACGTGTGTACATACTACAGAGGAACCCGCCCAGTTGTCTGCCGGCGAGCCTTGCAAATCAGAGAGAACTGAACCCCAACCCCCACCAGAAACGTTGGTGAAGATTTGTGATTTACCGAAGTACGTCCAAGAGAAGCGATTAACAGATTCCCTCAGAGAACAGTACAAAGTAAGTCTTTAATTGCAAATGAAACGGATATTATAATTTTATTTTCACAATTATATACCAGAAACAATTCTACAAAAGTGAAGTCGAATTGTGATTAACATTCTGAGCGCCATATTGTATTTGTATTTGTTATTAGTAATAACATTGGTGATTTAATTCTGCAGAGTTTCCCTGCCGAACCGGCTGCTGCTTGCACTACGGGAGTCCTTGCTGCGAATAAACCGAAAAATAGATTCAAGAATATAATCGCTTGTGAGTTTATATCGACATTTACGATTATACATTCAACTGTGTTTGATTTGCAATTCTGCTATTCCTATCGTTACCATGGTAACTAGTTTAAATGATACTCGTCTTCATTTTCAGATGATCATTCACGTGTTGTTCTGGAGAAGTTAGAAGATGACCCAAACTCGGACTATATAAACGCCAATTATATCGACGTAAGTTAGATATATATCTGAAAATAATGTAACTAGTTAAAGGGCAGCAGTCGTTGTGCCGCGTTCTGTTCGATATGGGACTCATAGCGACGTATACAACGCGTGTAAAATACATTGTTTATTTACATGAAATTCGAACACGCGCTGCGCGACGACAACCGCGCTTTAACCAAAAATCTCTCAGTTGCAAATGGCCGTCGATATCGCGTTAGCAGCGAGAGAGTCACGTGACAGCTACCAATCCAGTGTTCCATTCCACCGCCAACGTGTTCTATATGTGCCAAATACAAGCGACAATTTCGAAATGATAATATGGAATACTTTTTTTTCCACGATCACGTGATTTGACAGTGTAATATATAGAATTAGGCATCAACAATGATTCCTAAATTATTAAACGTGTGTGCATAATTTCGAATATTCATTCATTCATTCAAGATAACCTTGTATCGAGAACATATACATGGTTGCATATATCATGTAGTGTTAGTAAATAATTATATATTACAGGGTTACAAGAAACCAAAAGCATATATTGCGACTCAAGGTAAGTATCGTATGACACCATAACGTCACATGATATGCATTTATTGTACCGGTATTATTGTACTTCATAAAGTGTTCATGAATGTGTAACACCTTATTATCTCTGAAATACATACTCATAGTTTAGTTCATTTTCCGTTCACTGCGAGATCCCGCGTTATGCGTGAAATCGATCGGGAAATCAGGGCAAACAAAGGTCATAGCGCCGCGAAAGTATTTTTTTGAGTATTTGCGAACTTAATACTGTGATATATACATTTGATGATGGTCAATTTTGATGAAGTGAGGATATCTCAGTGCCATATTCCTCTCCGAAAGAACGGCATTTCGACATTGAACCATAAAAACGGTAATTAAAGCCGAGTTCAAAATCAAATCATTCGTTTTTTTGTACCAGACGTTTGATCCGCGTATTTCACGCATTTCGCGAGATCTTGCAGTAAACGGGAAATCACCTATTATGTTCATGACTTATATTTTGGTTAATATCGTTCATACGATTAATTGAATTATATTCATTTCTGATTTAATAGGTCCAAAGAAAGAAACAAGTCATGACTTTTGGAGGATGGTTTGGCAGGAGAAGTCCCGCACCATACTAATGGCTACCAATGTAGTGGAGTTGGGAAAGGTAAACAACTGATTATTTGTACGTCATTTTCACCAAGTTTAGCTCGTATGATATACATCTTTTAGACTACAATTTACTACATTGAGCAAATCATAAATGACACTCACATTGGCAGTTTCGCCGTTTTCAGTCACAAGCTTTCTGACAAGATGGAAAGCAAAATTAACCAAAATTAGACTCCTAGATTTTTTTAAACTGTAACTGTCAATATTTCAAACGGTATTAAAGCACTGGTTTCGGCTACAGATACGATGAAGGACACAAAGCTGGAGCTTATACACGTATTTATGCAATTTGTGAATATCAATAATCATCTGTCATTCAAATTCAAATATTTAATGGTAATTGGCCCACATTGACTACGCTCAATATGCGCACGCGCGCGTGCATTCACGCAATTGCAGTTGCCCACTTGTTCAAAATGAGACGATTGCTGAATGGATAATGTCTAACTCATTAATATTAATTAATAACTAAAATGCCACAATACCATTTCTGGGTCGATCAATTCGAATTATAATATTCATTTTGATTTATAAAAAAATGTATATTTTTTTATTACGTTTATAACGATGACAGCTTTCTGGCCTTCAACTGTGACCTGTCAATATTACGTTATATTAGTATATGATTGTCATTGTACTGAATTTCTAGCGCGGCATTTGTGGTATGAATCCTCATATATATCCCACTCAGGCTGTTTATATGTTCAATAACTGATGTTGCTGGCCATTCTGATAGCGACATGTGACATTGAGATCAGTTGTACCACAGTCACTCTACTAGGAGAATGACTGTGAGTTCACCAAATGATGTATAATGTCAACTACCTACTCCCATCCAGGTTAAGTGTTACAAATATTGGCCTAAGATGTCAGCCGGAGAGACCTTCTATGGTGGCCTGTCTGTCATTAATTTACACGAAGATACTTATCCTGATTCTGTCGTAAGGACGTTCAGGTTAAAAAAGGTCAGTGTTATAATTCATATACGTAGTATATTCAAACTTTTCAAGCCAATAGTCAATTGATGTAATTATAATTGCAATTGTAAATCCTTTATATAGTGTGCTGACCATGGGAAAGGGCATAATCACATAAAAGCTAGCAGGTCAATATTTTCTGAGGTCATATCATGTTGTCAGACGCAGTATTTTAACTACCGGTACCAACAACACACTTTTTGTTATGTACACAGAACGACGGCGGAGAGGTTCGCAAAGTCAAGCATTTTCATTTCACCGCTTGGCCGGACAAGACAGTGCCGATGTATCCTTCCGCAGTGTTGACTTTTCTGTCAAGAGTGAAATCTTTCAATCCACCGAATTCGGGACCGATCATTGTAAATTGCAGGTGAGAATGTTGAACTTAATTTTTATTTTTAATTTTAAATAATGTGCATTACGCAGTGCTTCGACTCGAAACATTTTATTGTCAATGTGTGGCGATTCTTCGTTGAAAATCAAATTCAAAACAAAAATTACAAAATTACATCAAGCTACCAATGACAATCTCTCGTTAGTGCCGGTGTTGGTCGTACTGGTACGTTCATCACTATTGACTCCATGCTAGAGATGGCAGAAGCTGAAGGTCAAGTTGATATCTACAATTTTGTCAAGAATTCAAGAAAAGACAGGACATATTTTGTTCAAGTATTTGTGAGTGACTGTTTAATAGATTTTGAATTACAGATTGAAAAAAAATAGTCATCTAGTTTTTGCTAGTAATGAATATAACAACAATAACATGCTCCCTCTGGAGACAAGAGTTTCAGTGACGTCGAAATGTCGTAGATGGGTGTACGAACAATCTACTATGGTAATATGCTTGGTTTTGTAGTCATTCGTTATATAGAATATAATAAATAACGAAAAACGGTGTATTTATCGACGGGCAGCCAATGATCAAAACAATATCGACAATGTGAACGTCGCTGTCGTATTTACGTCATATGTATGCGCCGGCGCTAGAGGGCGCGGTTGATATTGTAAGTGTGAATTTTACTAAAATTAAACTTACATCAAAGATGCTAAATTGTTCGAGGCCCGCAAACAACTATTCTATGTTGCTCGTAACGCGAAGTTACTGGTACATTAAACTGTCAACTGAACATCGAGTCACAATATAATTTGGGTACGGTTTCTAAAATATGGGCGTGGTCGTTTTTGTAACTCGGTTTTTTCGTTTACTCGATGTCCGTAACTCGAACGATTCAACATCTCCTTACATCAAATAATAAATGATGATGGTGTATGTGGTGTATTTGTTAGGACCAGTACGACTTTATACACACCGCCATTTTAATATCCACGGTATGTGGAATCACCGAAACGACTAAAAATGGATTCAAATCAAAGATAGAGGTTCTTAAAATGAAAGATGCGAACACAGGACTGACTGGATTTCAACAAGAATACAAGGTACGTTACTAGCATATATTATGTAATGTGTGACCGGGTGAGTCGTCAGCACTGGTGACGCAATATTTCTTTGAGCTTAGCAGGGTTAAATTTTATTCTTTATTCTTTTATAAGAATCTTGAAATAGTTTGTCCCATCCCCACCGAGAAGCAGATGAAGGCTGCCGTCTCAGACGAGAATGTGAAAAAGAACAGGTACAAGGACAGCTCTACGCTGCCACGTAAGTACATATGTTGTTGAATAAGCCATGTAAAACAATATAAGCAAATTACAGCTGGGATCTCGTTGTGAACGAGACTGCCGCGAGACTTGTTTTGCCCCTAAAACAGTGTTCTATTCTCTCCCTATCCTCCTACTCAGAGCTCCTTTCGGTTAGATCACCGAATGTATCTCTGCTACCACACACCGCCATTTTGTGGTGAAACACCACAAGACTTTTACTACGCGTATCATTTGCGTATCTTTGTTGTTAGAGGGCTCTCGTGTTGATTTATTCCTACTGGAAAACAAGGCGTAAACTGTAAACGCGTAAACAAATATAAATACCCGTGTACATAGATCAGTAGACCGTTGTGTCGTCACAGAAAGCGCTGTCTCAGCAAATACCTCATTCTCCTTCCCAGAGATCCTTGGGGCCTAAACCGAAAGAGCACTGAAATATATATTCGTAGAAATAGAACTCTGCCTGGAAGATTGTGGAACACTATTTAAAATGCAAAAACAAGTCTCGTGGTTCTCTCGTTCTCAACGAGACCCCAAGCGATCATTTGCGTCAGAGATAAGTTACCCGCATCAGCTACCGATTTGTTGCTTCATTCACGACTTTTCACTGGGCTGTGTGGCAATTGTGTTTATCTTTTTATTATGTCTATTATTCATGTCCATATCTTAAGGTGTACTTTAGATCGCTCAAAGGTATTTAGGAAAGTATCAATGAACACGAATCGTATGCATATTATATTTCGTCGTTAGATGCGTTAACCAATCACCCGAAATATTACGCATGTTATCATAAATATTGTGTAATAAATTGTATAACATGTAATTATTGTTACAGTGGACTTCTATCGACCCCGTTTAATGACACGTATAGACGACGAGCAGTCGACTGATTATATCAATGCTAGTTTTGTAACGGTGAGTCAATAGAAATCATATATTGGTAGTGACGCTGCTCTGACGTGATATTAGTATAAAACGTCTCTATTAGACTGAGACCTCCATGCCACGATTAAGTAAGTGTATGCAGTTATGCGACGGTTCCACTATACGCCTCCATCCCTCGTCTGTTTTGAATGTTTGTAATTGTTTACGATTTATTACACCACACACATTTTTACACGTGTTTGAATGTAGGTCATCGCATTGTGTATTCATAACTATATTTGCTCGTACTATTTCAGTGTTATTCCCGCAAAGATGCATTTCTTGCAACACAAATGCCCTTGTCAAACACTATCGTCGATTTCTGGAGAATGGTTTATGACTATCGATGTTTCAATATTGTTATGCTGAATGAAATCGACACAGATGACATGGTAAGACCAGCTCGATTCTATGGTTTAAGGAGATATTAACAATTTGGCTATTGTGACATAGTTGAAAGTCAAATATTCAGTATAGGTTTGAGGGGCGTTGTTTGTATTCAATGCGAACACAGCTTAATCATCCAAAGACCAGAATGTGTTGTATAATAAATCCTGCTGTTGACTACAGAATCTGACATCTGGTTACATGTACGTATATAAGTACATTTCATTAAGTCAATTCATGGCACATGCGCACTATCGTTAATACGTTACTTCATTCACAGCTCCAAACCAACTTTTTGGAACAATGGATGCGACAGGGTTTAAATTGACACTCTTGGGGTTCGCTGGTTCCCGGCGTCCCTTGCGAATGATAAGTTGGGCCACAGTCCCACTATAGACGGGCTGTGGTAGGGCGCAGGTAACTATTAATCGCCAAATTGTGCCACTGGGTCGGGAATCCGGCCTAAAGACACTTGACTAAGTGAAATGATTTGAAAACATTCTAACATTCGTTTTCCGTAAACAAGTCTTCAACACTGCAATAACGCTATACCCATACAGCTTGTCAGCTTGCAATATTTCAGATGGTTCTGACATTTCTCACTGTTTCTATGCAAATTAATAACAAACGAAACAAGAAAGTGATGGAGCAATCATAATGCTAGAACCATTACTAGTTACCAGCCTATTGTGGATTGGTGTGCCACGACACTTGAGGTGGAAACCAGCCAAACTAATGGGGGGCGAGAAGTCTCGTGTCTTGCTCGCTCTCAACGAGAACTGGGCGGACATTTTCGATTATAGTGCAATGCCTCTTAAAATATGTTAAATATATAACCGGGTGATATGATTCCCGAAAGTAGTGGCATATTCAGAATTTTCATTCAATAAAATATTTTACATTTTCACCGTTTTTCCTACAGAAACAAGGACAATACTGGTCTGACGACAGCGCTTCAATTCACGGCCCATTTATCATTGATGTAACATCAACTGTAAAACATGACAACTATATTCAACGAACATTTTCACTTACAAACTCCAAGAAAGTGGTATGTATCCGTATTGTACATAGCATAACATACCGTGCTGGTGTCATGAATTAGTTTTCGCGTATCTGTAGTCCGACTTGTTTAGCTGATTAACTAGTGAATGGCTGCGTTATAACTGTCATCATTTAGGTTCATGCGAGGTCCTGGACGGAACTTGACTCACTGATTTGGAACTAATTACGATATAACCGTTGCCATCCGGACCGCTATTTCTGACAGTTGGTATTTGCAGTTAGTAATATAGTGAACGATTAATAAAAAAATATGACGTGTTCAGTACTTAGTTTGATAGGCTATGTGTAAAATGAATGTGTGAAGGCCACGCCTTAGAGTCTTTAAACTCCTTTGTAATTGGTTGAGATTTTGAAAGTGAAAAAAGGAGTTTTAGTTGGTCTTGGCGAGAACACCACGAGAGACGCAGTCTGGGTCAGCCTTGCGAGAGTCTTGGGGACATTTCCCCAGGGCGCTGTGTCTTATAGAGTACTCGACTGACCGACTAAAGACGAGCGTTGATACGTATTTCGTTGTGTGTGTCTATTTGACTGTAAAGCTAAAATGACGTCCCCGGTCCGGTACCTCAAGCAGACGTGATATAGAGACAGACGAGATTCCCACTGACACGTATTGGAGAACCCCAGAGGAGAAGAATTTCCCCCTCATACTGGTTCAATAAAACAATTACCTGCATGGGTAACACTGGATATACATCTTACAGTTTTAACGGCGGATTTGATTTTACAGCATTCAGTTGACAATAATGAACAAAATGGCTGGCTTGATGACGCAACTTTGACAATAATGAAAAAAATTGCTGATTTTATAACTTGACCGAAAGTGACCGCAATGTTTGATCAATGACGTAACATAGAACATTAATAAACAAAATGGCTGACCTGACGGCGAAACAAACGGACGCAAATAAATACAATGGTTGATTTGATAACGTAACTTGACGAACATGAAGATAAATGGTGATTTGTTGCCGATGACATGCCGAGGACACGCCGATGACATGCTGATGACACGCCGGTGACATGCCGATGACACGCCGATGACATTCCGATGACACACCGATGACACAAATGAGAAAAATAGCTGATTTGATAACATACATCACCCGGATAAAGCTGAGCAGAATGCCTGAATCAATGACGTACATGACAATGACAAACATATCTCATTACACTGTGCCCGCGGATAGTATATTGGTAAAAGCATGACGTATCTGAATATGTAGGCATTCACAACAGTGTTTGTGTGCAAACGTACGTTTAAATAAGATGAATATGATTTCCCCATAAATTATATTTGCGAATTGTTCTAGGGTGTAGAGCCACGTGTCATTGGTCATTTTCAAGTTATAAATTGGTCACAAGATTCAGATGTCCCAATAGCCAAGGGTGTACTAGCAGAGGTTATGCAACAAGTGGAGAACTCACAACATCAATATGGCAATGGGCCAATCGTAGTGCAGTGCAGGTAAGCGTGGTCAATCGTTATGATTTATATACCGGTATATATATGCACGAAGGCAGCACAGCGGAAGTATCTTTGAACTTATTTGTGTCTTTCTTCTTTCCGGTCAAACCATGGTGGCAACCATGTTTGTTTTTTTATTATCAAAGGACGCTTACGCGCGTAATCATTCCATATTAGGAATTCGCATTTTCTTATACGGTAGGATGAAAATACCCCATAAAATACCGCAAAATTACGGCTCGCTGTAACTTATTGCGTTACGATGACGGATGTATAATAATGAACATTAATTTAAAGATCCTTTCTCAATTAAAACATCCAGAAATCAGTACTATCGCTATTGTATGTGTTGCATAATGTGCATATGTTACATTTGCATAACGTGTCACATATATACGTTGCATATATTTGCATATGAAATGCACATATGCGCATATTCCTTGCAATCATTTCCACATGTTTAACATACATTTACGAACATGTTGCATGCATTTCTTTTTGCATCACATACATCATTCATGTGTATATGTCGTGAAACTGGTTCAAATATTGTGGAATACTTGCGTCTGGTGCAATGGGTGGTTATTCCTTAATTACCAAGTAATATACTGGCGTGTTCTACTGAAAGTATATCGAATGTAACGATGTTCATTTCAGAAACGGTTCAGGGCGAAGCGGCATATTCTGTGCTTTAATGGCCACATGTGCTCGGATGAAAGCAGAACAAATTATTGACGTATTCCAAGCCGTGAAGACAGTGCGTGATAATAGAACGGGTATGGTTGAGTCGGTGGTAAGTGAAATCTACAATTCTACAGTGACATCTATTTGTGGTTTCTTTAGAAAACTATGTGAGAGTAATACAGTGAAAGGCACAATGCTTATAAATGTATTTATACAAATTTGTAAAAGGCGTTCGCAAGCTTTAATTCAACTTCAAATATATAATAATGATTGGCTGAAGCATATGTACCCATGATGTGCGCACGTGCCTGACATAGCAACTGGAAAATTGATGTCACAATGCCATTTCCGGGTTGTTCAATTTGAGTTCTAACATCCATTTCGATTTATAAAAATATATATATTAGTAAAACGTGTATAAAGATCGCAGCTATATACGCTTTACTGTAAACACTATGGTTATGAGAGTGACACGCCGTGTTCTGTATAGAGAGTATAGACACTACTGATTGCTATGATTTGTTACACTATGTATTTTTATATTGTTACAAATAGAGTAACACTGTTATACTCTTACGTTCAATAATATTAGGATCAGTACATACGCTGTTACGAAGAAGTATTGTCATACGTCGAGTGCATTGACGAAGAAGGTAATTTTATAGTGGGTATTATAGTAGTGGTGTGGTGTGGTGTGGTGTAGTGTGATTTGGTGTTGCGTGGTGTAGTCTAGCGTAGTGAAGCGCAGTGCAGTGCAGTGTAGTGTAGTGTAGTGCAGTGTAGTGTAGTGTAGTGTAGTGTAGTGTAGTGTAGTGTAGCGTAGCGTAGCGTAGCGTAGCGTATCGTAGCGTAGCATAGCATAGCATAGCATAGCATAGCATAGCATAGCATAGCATAGCATAGCATAGCATAGCATAGCATAGCATAGCATAGCATAGCATAGCATAGTGCAGTGCAGTGATACTAGCCTGAGAAATTCGTCATTAATTGCCTAGCATTATTTTTTTTTCAGACTGACAAAGACTGAGGAAGTTGAAAAAAGACATATAAAGACAATTACTATTAAGCCTGCTGCCACATACGCTGAGCGTGATTTTTATCTAATTTGTAACAATTGTTTCCATTTTTCTTTATGTTCCTAACACTCGAGAAAATGAAAGTGAAAAGAATTTAATAATTATTTAAAATGTTATCCATTAATTATCATGTATATTTCATTATCATACATTAGCATGTACAATATACCTAACTATACCAATCTCCAGAGCCCCGTGACTAAGAACTCGCTACACTCTGTACATATATTGGTTTGTAATTAGCAAACATCAATATTCTGTAAATACAAAATAGCATGTTTGCCGAACTGTACTTAATTCCCATTATATCAATTAGTGAACTTACCACTTAATCTCGTTTTCTATGAAAATCGTATACAAGAGTTTTCAATATATGCAAATGAATCTAGAATATATGTGATGTCCCACTCGTTATACACTACGGCACAACGCCTAGCTACGACGGAAAGTAATATATCGCCACGGTCAATCCACATCAATACTACAAATAACTTTGCCAGTGGTAAAGTCGATAGCGAAATTAACATGTGATCGGCAGATTACGCGTGAAACACGCGGCAGCGATTGCAGCCATCACGTTAGAAGTCGGTGATATGTCAACATCATGTCAATTATCTGAGATCATGTGATTATATAAAAATCTTCGCACCCATCCAATAATAATAGAGGTTTTGTATTTCTCGGACGCTCATGACACCGCATAGTGGGTGTGACGTTTGCACATATTTGAGATATTTCTGTCGTTGTAACTAGACGTTGGTGTATTGCCGCACTGCGAATGGTACCTCACATATTCATATATATCCGTGACATTTTACAATTAAACGTCCATTTAGCGATGTAAAATTTATATATGGAATGTTTTAGTTGTTCTATGAGTACACGTTTGTATTTCCTGTGTGTGGGGGTTTTCAGTTAAATTCAGGTGGATCGCGACACTTCGCAGTCTGTGACTCGACGCTCAACTTCTAACGTACGACACTAACATTTTAGTTTTTTGGGGCATGTTTGATAGAAAGAAATATGACTTATTGTAAAATAAAAACTTTTATTTCGACAACAAACATGGCAGTGCTAGTTAGAAACAATAATTAAAACGATATTGCGCATGCGCCGCAAATTACCTGCACGTACAGGCAAATCTGGGCGCATGCGCAATTGCGTTCTACTTAATTTCATTGAAGGAATATTGCTATGTCTTCTAGCGAAACAACGTTTTTATATTACTTATTATTTTATATAACTCATACTCGATTGGGCAAATTACGGTACTTACACAATTTTTCAAACATTTCAAAAATACTTAAAATTGAATTACCCAAAAGGCCTCTTGGAGGACTACTCTACATTGAGCGTTGTAGACAGTGAAGATTTATAATGTACTAAATAATTATATATATTTTTTGTAATATCTAATTTTAAATACAATTTTGTTATTGGTTTGAAACTATTTTCTTATAAGCGTGTGTAAAATGGATTAGAATATGTGCACTGACATGTGGTGAATACCTCATTAAAAACTAATACGAACTTTGCGCCGGTATATAATTCTGCCTTCGTGCCACGCTTGCTATTCAGTCAATTCCCGTCTTACCAACATCATACGGGAATTGCTGAAATACGCTAGCTAAAGTATTGATGGTTTACCTATTATGAGGGCATGCGCAGAATGTATCGGAAAAAGTGACACGTATCTCGTTGAAATATACCCAGTCTAATTGGTACGAAACTACACCGCACCGCACCGCACTGCACTGCACCGCACCGCACCGCACCGCACCACACTACACTACACTGCACTGCACTGCACTGCACCGCACTGCACTGCACTGCACCGCACCGCACCGCACCGCACCGCACCGCACCGCACCACACTACACTACACTGCACTGCACTGCACTGCACCGCACCGCACTGCACTGCACTGCACTGCACCGCACCGCACCGCACCGCACCACACTACACTACACTGCACTGCACTGCACTGCACCGCACTACACTGCACTGCACCGCACCGCACCGCACCGCACCGCACCGCACCGCACCACACTACACTACACTGCACTGCACAACACTACACTACACTGCACTGCACGACATCACCCCACGACATACATCATATTACAATTCACTCTTTAGAGTGTTGATAAATATACTTAATAAATGCAAAAATGCAAAATCCCCAATCGACCTAAACAGGTGATAAATGCATCGCCCTATAATATAACCCTTGCAATCGGGTCACGTTACGTCATTAGTTGTGACCTGACATCACTGATTGACAATCTTCCAATTGGGGAACTTGATAATTTTGTTGAGCGGCATTCGAATTTGATTATTCGGTAAAAATCTGATTTTGTTCACCACGTGAGATAACAATTCTTCGTCAATATAAATAATGATTGGCAAATAAGAACATTATATGCTAGACTAGACTAGATGACGTAAAAATCTACGAATAATAGACCACTCTTGACTTTACTCAGTATGGCAGGATTCCAGGATAGTTTTAAACATGTATCCAAGATCTTTTTGTTCACGATACCTCCTCACTATTTTCTCTTGTGTTAGCGTTCGCTTCGACGCCGCGTCCGGAGTGTTGGTTCTACCGCCGCGTTCATCGTTTCATATCCGATGCGCGCACGTTCCTAAAATCGTTAGCGGCGTTCTACTAATGTACCGCTTTCGAAAATTCCCCACTCTTGACAAAAATGAGCCGGAAACGATTGAAACATGAGGAGCGTTCAGTTTACTCGCATTCAATGGTAGATTTGTTGGACCCAAAGTTCCATGAAAATGAGACTGAATGCGGAGACGAAAACCGTTTAAAGAGGCGTACTCGGTCACGACAGAAAAATGGCGATCCATCGTTCGGTCACTGCAAACAACATAGTTTGAAAAGATCTCGTAGCGATGTAGTGTATTCGTGGTGTAGACGTAAACAACATAAACCTGGTAGTCAGAATGGAGGACGTTCTATCACCGGGAACCAAGTTGATTTCTCGGACAAGTGAGTAATTTCATACGTTTTGCTTATGGCGCCTTCCTTTCAAATTGCGGTTTATTTGTCCAACAGACTGGATGTCCAGGTATATTATAATAGTGATTGTGTGCAATGAGGTTATTTAATGAACTTTGCACAACTTCACGAAGCTTCCGTTGAAACCTGCAACATCGCTACCGTTGAGGGCGCACCATAAGGCGCGTTCATCTCGTTTCCTTTGGACATGGAGGTGTTTATACCTCCATGCTTTGGAGAAGGTTTACATTGAAAAGGGAATGTCTTTAACGGTCGATTGTGTTAACGCTGTGCTGATATAGTCAAAATTCATTTCCTTAAAATTGAAAATGCGTCGAGCAGCTAGTATATAAGACCGTCGCTGGCATTTTCGGTGTTTTGTATGAAGTTTATTTCACCGATTTTCGATTAATTAAATGTGAAATATTGTAAATAAAGTACTTTACTGTATATACATGTAATGACTTTTTCTCTCTAGTTACGAATTACACAGAGAAGAAACCATGATAAACGCCCGGCTTGAACCGCCCGATAACGCCCTTAACGCCAGATCAGCCGAGATAGTCATACATCGTCCGGAACCAGCGGATTTGTCGTGGGAGCAGCGAACTAACCTGAATGCGGTATCAGTTCCCCAAAATTCGTCAACCTCTCTGTCTTATGACGACAAAATTGATAACGGCGAGTTTTACAGCTGGAGTTCCAGTACCCTGTCGTCTATTGATTACTTACTAGCTGATACTACAGAAGAGATGGGCACGAATTCAGAGGTAAATGGAAGTGTTTTTTCCCTAATTACAGTTACGTTCCTTGTCCCAAAGTTCATTGCGCAACGCCCATCCTTGTTCAAGAAAACCTGGGTCAAAAAAATCTGTTCCACTCTGTCTCATACCTAGTGTACCATGATTCAATGACAATGTTTTTGGTTAAATTTATAAATAAACATATATACGACTACAACCAATTGTTTTTTTGAAAATCTCTTTGTTTTAACATTTCAGCAAACCGATGCAATTTCTGCTGATACAGATGTACCCAGACTTGAGCAGGAACTAAGTAATGATGCAAGTCCACGAATTCAATGAAACAGCAGCTGTCAAAATACTGAACGTGTTCATATGGCCGGGGAAATTACGGCTGACGCTGACTGGATGCAAACATATCTGCCTTTAATCACCAATTCATTACCGACGAAACTATATAGATTAAGACAATCATAGAAACATTGTCGCAAACCGCCTGAATATTTTTTGTAAATACTCTGATATATTATTTCATTTGCATACTTAATTGCAAACAGTGTTGACACGAGAAAGCACGAACAAAACATTGTGCATGCAATACGACATCTCGTTTTTAGTTCAACTAAAACAAAACCAATTAAACTAGACTCCGACTTGAAGTTTAATCAAGAGATAAACGCAACGCAAACAACCTGAATACTAAAACAGTCTAAATAATAGACTGACTAACCTAGTGTAAACAATTCCCTTTTAATTCAATACACAGTTTATATTTAAATTTTATTAAATGTGTCTATTTAAGGAAAACTATTTGACAATTCAGTCTGATTGTTTGCCATAAATCAAAATTGTCTCCTTATATATGACATAACGGAATAAAGAAGGGAGGTAGGTGCTAGGGGTGTTATCAATGAGAGAGTCGGTGTGAAACGACGTCTACTATAAGCTATTCGAACACTGGTGGCGCTAATACGTTCGGGCAGTTATTATAAGTTCAAATCTCGGCCAATGCGTTATAGTAGCGGTCAGAGTGACCAATTTGTGCATCAATAGCCACTCTTCGATTGACGAGATATCACCGAGAAGACTCAGTCTCGTTACAAAGTTATAGTCATATTAGTCTTACTACATTTCTGACGAGATCATAGAAACTGTGTGTATCGTCACACGGTGGTGAAATTGTAAAACCATAGCAGTTTTCACAATAGAATAATGGGTACAATCAACACTCAGACAAAACGACCTTTACTGAATAACGTGACCTACTATTGTTTCACCTGAATAGTGATGTTCATTTGCCTTGGGCGGAGTTTAACTTATTTGCCAGACCTGTGACGGAGCCCATCCACTGATTACTCTTAGACTCGATGTATGTGCTAGAAAAAAAAAACACATACTGAAGCGTGTAGCATCGCATACCAATAAAGGCACATGGCACGTTTGTTTTATGGAACACTTGTTTATTAAGAAGATCAGCATATGAAAATAGAAAAAAAAAATTACAAATTTCTTGGCTGTCAATTACAAGGGAATATCTCTTTCACAGAAATGAACTAGATGGCCTATAATGGTGTATACATGCTTTGGACGGAGTTTAAAGCTGGGGAGTCGCCACCTGCACATGCGACAGACGGCCATAGCGTGGCGTTGTTTACAAACAAGCGTCTAATCATGAGCCCTAGCCTTTTAGCTTTTGGAACTTAATTCCCGCGCATGCGCAGGTGACGATCCCTCTGCTTTAACATATTTGGCATGTGATGAAGGCAAACTTCAAAGACACATGTGGTTCGTTCTCGTCGTTTACATTGCAGTGCATCAATTCGTGGTAATCTCTTTTTTTTTCACAACTTAAACGACAGCGATCACAGTAGTAACTTAATCTCCGGCAAAATGTGAACTTTTTTCTCTATTGTCTTTGATCAAATATATTCTACAAGGATTTGCAAATGAAAATAGAGAATATAAATTGCAATTATAATACAGTAAACCAGCACACTCAGTAGATCGGCTATTTCCTCTGTGGTGTACTACATTTCAAAACTGACTGAGAAGTGCTGTCTGTAATTCCCACCATATAGTACAAAATACAGCGTGACTTCATATTCCTGTCGGAACTATATATGATATACTACAATATGTATTGTGTTCATCGTTTTCCCTCATGGATATTTCTAAACGTCCCAAGTTTAAAAGTGTAATTTCTTCAAGTTTACAACATCAGATTACGGTCAATTTAAAATGATGTTTGTACCAAACAGATATTTAAGATATTTTAAGTTACACATTAACAGATATTTTAAGAGAAAATTCATCATAAAATGATACAATTGTATGTATGAAAAATATGAATTATATTTATATAAACTGAAATGCTGAACACACATTTAATCCTAAATTCTGTTACAAAAACCTGATTCGCATTTAAGGAATAACAATGCTACAATTGATGGTAATGTATGCACCAAATAATATAACATATATGATTCAATGTACATTTTTTGTACTAATACTTTGTATCTAATACATATTGTTGTATATGTTGATACAGGATCCACATCAAACACTAACACATGTCTAGTGTAAATGAAATCCATCTAGTGTTTAGTCAAAGATATTTGGTTTTCTTCACAGAAATGGCAGCGAATACACGGCAGGGTAAAGAATATGTTAAGCAAAGCAAACATGTACAGCGTAATGCCGTAGTGGGCATAGTTTATTCGGGTCACACACACTTTTTTGATCTAATGAACGCCTCGGGTTTGTTTCAATGTTTTTCAGCGGTCTGCAGGTTCGGGGGATACTCGGCTATGTTTTTAAATAGCAGCTCTGAGGATTAACGGAGAATTTGCCGCGCCCTGTCGTATATTCGGTGTTATTTCTGTGATCTCCTTTCCATGTTAATATTTGTCTACCTGTTATGGAGACCTCAACGTCTTTCCACACACAGCTTATAAATGCTCGGTTTCAATCCAACACCGTACAACGGTGTCATGTTTGGCGGCTCTGCACCTTTGGGGATGGTGAAGGTGAATTGCTGTAATAAACTGCTGAAGAACAGGAAGAATTCCATCTTTGCCAAGTGTTCACCCAGACAAATACGATTACCTATAAGACGTACAAAATAAATGCATGATATTAACTTTTGATAATGTCAAACTATTTCGAAAATCATTTACAAAGATGACTGACAAATTATACTTATTTATCAATAGAAATTTAACGAGCTCCCGAACGCTTTGGGCACACTCGGGGTAAATTGAGTCACGTGACGTGCAAATAAACCAGCGATCCGACGAAGTGCGGGAAAAGCAGTAAAACACAACTGAGGAGACCGTACAACATGGGCGGGCATTTCGGATGAATATACTTTATCAAATAAAACACAGTTTGGCGGTTTTTAAACATTCGATAATGTAAAGATGAAATAGCTATTAGATCGAACAATTTTTTCAATTAAATAATTCAAAAAACATGACCGGCGTCGGCCATCCATCATTTTTTTCGTAAAATACAAGTGTATTGTCGTTCATAATTATTTATGTAATCACAATGAGTGATGTATACCAAACACATGAGATACGACATTCGCGATTACTGTATTTACAGTTGTATTATATACTCCATGCAATTATTTCCTATTGCAAAGATATAAAGTACACCCGGTCGAAAATATAAAGCTTTGAATGTTGCAGGGGACTGCAAGAGAGGGGGAGAGGGGGGGATTTTCTACCTACCTGTACTGAATGGTATGTGTTCATCAAAGCGTCTTACTTTTCCGTCTTTGTCAAGGAATCTCTCGGGATTAAATTTTTCTGGTTCAGGCCACAGTTTGGGATCGAAGAGTACGGAGCGTATATGTGGAATGACTATAGTTCCCTGGGGGATGTTGTAACCTCGTAGCGTAGTGTCTTCAGCGACGCAGTGTGGGGCCGCTGTTGGAGCGATCGACGCGATGCGAAGAACTTCGAGCATAGTTGCTGTGACATACGGGAGTTCTTCCTCATCGGCGAGGCATGGCTGTCGCGTTTTGCCAATCACCCGGTCAATGTCCCGCTGTATACGTTTTTGTATTTCAGGATATCGAACCATATACATAAACGCCCATGTCAGTCCGATTGATGTCGTTTCAATCCCGGCAAAGAAAAAGTCTTTAATGGCTGCCTCCATGTCGAGATCGTCGAGCGAGAGGGACGACCCACTCAATTTTGAGGACTCCACTTCTTGAATATACATATCGATAAAATCCCTTATGTCATTGGGGTCAAATGTTTGGCGATGCTCTTCGATTTTCTTCTTGACAAAAGCAAATATTTGCTCCATGCAGATTACGATTTCCTTGTAGGACGGGGATACGTATTTCACCAATGGGATCACATCAACAGCGCCAGCTTTAAGACTCAGCTTAACAATACGGTCGACTAAGCCCAAGAACTTCTCTGTTTCTTCATCGCCATAATCCGTGCGTTCGCCGAACACAAGAGAGTTTATAATATTGGCTACGGCTCCCGTGATGAGTAAGGCTGGCTCGAATGGTTTACCGTTTGTGTTATCTACGGCATCCACGAAGTACCTGCTCTCTTCTTGGATTTGGCGCTCAAGGTTTGCTTTCCGCGTCGTGATGCCGAAATGCCTCAGCACACCCTGGGCGAACTTACGACTCTTTTTCCACCGCGAGCCACTTGAGCCGACGATTCCTGCAATACAAAGTGGGAAATCTATCAGTGCGAATAGCCGGGATTATATCAAAGTACTAATATCTTTCCAGTAAGAAGCGCCCTCATAGCGACGAGACGCTTGTGTGACGTCAGAATGACGCAATAAGTATAAACAATATCGATGAAATAGACAACTCTGTTTGGATGAGTAGTCGTTCGTCATTTAGAATATCACAAATCTCCAAAAATGTACTATCGACGGTGTGCTCTTATCCTCGGGGCGGGGCCACGTCACGACGCGCACCACTGTACATGCATTTCTACGGGCTCTGTGCGCGCTGCTGTGGAACGCCAGTCGAGCCGGTGAAAATTCGAGAAAACAACACAAACTCAACTTTGAAGTAATCCCAAACAACCAAATTTATATATGTTACACACGTAGGGCTAATCTTCTTACACTGTTCAGAGGAGTCTCAACAATCATCCCAAAGTACCGTTTTCTGCGAGTTTTGGGCCTTTGTTTTCACCGCCGCGGGTTGCCAGGCGGTGAAAATGCCCGGATGCCCCCCCCCGAGGATATAACAACACATTACGTCACAGAAGCGATTCCTTGGTAGAGGGCGCGGCTCATTGGAACGGTCCGGGATCTTGAAGTTTTAATAGTTTTATCTTGAATACCACCATTTATTAACCATGTTTTGCACAAAGGTCACAAGTTATGTAAACAAAGTTGGACTATTGCTCTAAGGGAAGAAGGGGTCAGGGGGAGTAGGAGGTCATACTCAACATGGTCATATTCATTATTATTTTTTTGGTATTGTTGGCCGACAAAAGCAAAGATTAACAACGATTAAGAAATGTTAAAACTTCGCAAACGCAACAAAATGGACACATCGTCACGTAGATTGTGTTGTGTTTTCATCAAACGTTATCTTTCTTACAGTTAGTACGTTTGGTCATTTGGTCTGGTTATGATGTATTTTCAGGATGGTATAATATGTAGGACACAGAACATAATATTATTGTTTCGAACATTATGCGGGTCAGTTAAAAATGTGCGTTCCACAGCTTTTTTAAGACAATTATTAAAATCACTACTTCAAGGCCATTTTAACGTACAAAAATAAATCGTGTGCGTATCTATTTCGAAATCAAATTTGAAATCATGCCCAAAATGTATTATCTGACAAGCAATATTGATGTACCTGAATATAGTACGGCGTTTTCACGCGATACTATCTTTTCTCCACATTTGCATATGACCTGGAAAGCAACAGCAAAATTAAGTACTGCTTATTCGTAATGGTCTTAAGACCCCCCCCCCCTCACCTCCCGTAACAAAATTGCTACATGAGCCTATTGTAGCACTTACAGGACACTTCTTTAAGGACGTACGCCCAAGTTTTCATTTCCGAAACTATTATTTTGCAGCAAGGCGTAGCATCATAATAACATAATAAACTATGAATCATTCAAAGTACTTTTTGGGTAAGGGCGTGACCTGTGTAGTAACATGGTGAACATCGGATACTAATTATTTTGAGTGCAGCAATGAATACATTGGCATTCGTAGGTTCCCACAACGATGACATGATATATTGAATTTGGTTAAACGGGTGCGATGAACCATGTGCGGGAAAGTCAAATAGCTGTTTTCCCAGGGGGTGTTTCATCTTTATTACCGGTTTTGCACCAGTATTGGTTAATACTGATTTTGAAAACCAATTAAAGAACGGTGGTCGTCACGCATGGCGTGTTCAAATTTCACGTGAACTAACAATGTATAGAACACGCGTTGTATACGTCGCTATGAGTCCCATATCAAACGCGTCTTCGTGAAGTGGAAGACATCGGTCATTCTATTGTTGTCTATATATTGTCATGTCAAAGAAGATGATCACACGGCATCTCAAAGTACTCTAAGTATTTTTTGGTTATTTATTCAAAAGACTTTTGTCAGTCCCCGAAGGCACCTTGCGGTGTATTCAACCGTTTAAATCTTAGGCTATTGTCTACTGTGGACGCACCTGACCCCTGGATGATATTTAAAATAAATCACAAGTCTTTATTTACATGGTTAAATATTTCCTTTATGGTAAAACTATTCAGTTATGGTGAAAATAAGAGCCACATACCTCTACCGTGGTTGGTGATAGCTTTCCACATACTAAGCATCTCCGGGCGGTCGCTAAAATGATCGCTCTGTCCCACAAACGCTTCCCTGATAGCATCGTAACCATTCAGGACGACGAACAGCCGGGAACCCAGGCGCATACTGAACACATCGCCGTAGACAGTGCGTAAGTCTGCGAGGCCATCATGCAGCAACTGGTATTTTCGTAGAGTTAGAATGCTCCCAACTAAGGGCAATCCCATCGGCCCAGGTGGTAGATTCCTCGTGCGGCCGAATACCATCCATAACGAAGCCAGCACTATGACAGCGGAGAGAATGTAGGCGATCATGGTGACCGAATGATGACGGGGTCGATGCACATTCGCTGGGTGTCAGTTGAGTAGTGATGTCACAGTGATCAGCCAACACTCTTATATAGACGAGTGTGTACGTGCGAATGTACGTACGCGATTGAGCAGGCACTCGTGCGATAGCGTGTTTATTGGCATCGGGATATGACCCACGAGTTAGTGCAATGACTCGAGCGCTGGTGGCGCTGTTTTATAAGTGCTGTGTAGGTTTGTATACAAGCCTGAGAATATGGGTGTGTTAGTTTTGGTAAGTCCTTGTCAGCCCTCCCCTACTTGTGCCTTGGGGTGCCTCGAAGTGTCAATATCACCCCTAAAACAGTCATGCACATAGGGCTAGATAGCGTGTGAATTTTCAGTAAATGAATTTGAAAGAGAATTAAAGAATTAAATTGTAACAATTTAGCACTAAAATTATTCATATATCGCGACAAGTTTAAAATCCCGATAATAAAAATCTGTGTTGAGTGTTCAAATGATTTTTTCCCAATCACATGGCGTGCCGTATATCTTACGGAATGTACCATAGTTTTCAGTAAACCATAAAACAGAGGGCTCCACGTGTAGTATAAATAACTGATTATTTTGTGTACTTATTTTTTAGTTGAATAGATGCCCTTGATTTACTCTGATATTGTACACGTCGTCAATATAGCGAGAGATAACGGTTAATATAAAGGTAAAGTTCAGCCTGTCAGCGTTCAAGCTGATGGTCAATGTTCTAAATAATACATTATGACCAGTTTCTTTTGTCCACATATAACGCATAGCTACAGTGTACAGTGTGTATGTAATTGCACTATTAGATCGATGTCGGATAAAAAAATTATTTACTTTAGTTTGGGGGTGGGGTGGCCTCAAAAAGTTTCCATCCTACAAAAACGATTTTATTTTTTAATGAAGTCAAAAAAATCTTGGAGTATTTGTAGTTCGTTTTTTTTTTCTATCCAATCATGGACAAAAATAACAGGAAATGAAAAAAAAATCAAGACGAGAAAATGGTTTGGTCCAAGTGTAAATATGTGTGTCGAATGAACTGCTATACCATACTACTGTCCGATTATCAATTTGTATTAAATGGTGAATGTAGTCAGACGCCATGATCAATATGTATTAATTAAGTTTCAGTGGGGGTGGTGGTGCGGGGGGGGGGCTAAAGGAATTAATAAGTTTTTTTATCATACATTGAACTTTTGATGTTGTCCCTAAGGAACTGAAGCTGGAAAGCCATAAACCTCGACCAGTTAGAATATTGCCTGCCGAGATATATGTGTTACACGATATGGCTGTGTTATACAGTTACATGATACATGTGTGTCGGATTCCGTTTGAGACGGGAGACGCTGACAATATACCTTGGTCGTTACTATTTGTCCATCATATTAAATATAAACTGTATTATATATGATATATATATATATATATATATATATATATATATATATATATATATATATATATATATATATATATATATATATATATGTATATGTATATAATTAAAAAAACGGCGTAGCTTGTAGATAATAATAGAATTTTACAATATTAAGCTAGTTCTCTTTGGAATTCAAAACGCCACTACCAGTGACCCTTCACCACATCCACTAACCCATATTAGCTTGTAATGATCTGAATACTTTATAGTCGCTGACCTTTCACCACATGTATATGTCAATATGTTGGCACTGCTTTGACACCTCGTAAACAAGCACGTAGAGTAATCTTATAATTAAATCACATTGAGGAAATTGTCATGACTGAGACAAAATATAATAAATGAATAAACACCACGCATGCTCATTCCCCGCATCTGCAGTCCATGCGTGTATCGCATTACTCGGTAAGCTTTGGGCCATGTGCGCCTTGATACGCGGGATGCAATATTGGAGCCTAGTCAAAACCAGTGGAGGTGTCACGGGGAGGTGGGGGTGTCAGAGGGGCCCTCGAAAAAAAATGTTGCGGGTGCGTCACCCCTCCAAAATCAAGCTGAAACCTTTTGTGTCAGCAAAATGTGCCTCTCAAAATGCATGAAACAGCGTTTCAGAGGGTCTCGATTTTCACATTTTTAAAGGGGAGCATACTCCTGTAAGGTTGCGCCTTCGGTGCAAGTTTAGTGAGCAGATCTCGCCCCTCCATGCAAAATTTAGTTCCGCCGCCTCTGAAAACCATGTAAATATCATGGATGGAACAAATGACGGATAAAATGGAAAGTTAAACTGAAAAATGATGACGCGCCTATATTATATAATAATAGCATCGACATCTATACATGAATTTTCACGTCAACTACCCTTTACTAAACAAATTAATGCTAGTCAATTTCAGGAAAATAGGAAAACATTAAAGTGTGACAACATCTACTAAACGGTCACTTGCAATGCAAGATTAAATTGGTGGTGATGGTGATATATTGAACTAGAAAAGCGATAATAATTAAATAATGTCTCAATAGCGGGTTATAGTGTTGCTTGGTTGGACTTGGTGTTTACTTATCATGTACTGGACACAAATGAAATGGTGGTTTGATTGAGAGGTAAGCTGAACTAACCATGATGTGTAATTGACAACTGACAAAGCCTTTCCAAGGTACCACATTTTCAAAAAAAAAATGGCTGCTAATCTGCCATCTTGGATCGAATCGCTAAACCACTGCATGTGCATATGTCATAAACGCGTGCCAAAAAAAACAAACGGAGTCGGTCGTGAGTTATGAAAAATGACTCGTAAAGCATAAAGCATCATGCGCGAAATTTATGTGTTAATTTTAAAAAGTCATACTCCTAAGAGAATCTGGTTTGAATACGTTGTTGTAAAATGGCAAGCGGATCAAATGGCCCCAGGTCATGACGTTTGTTGTATCTACAAAGGTGAATTGCGTGTTTGGCCGGAGCCGAAAGGAAAACAAAGAGGTGTTGAGCCTGTCAAAAGAGACAAAGAGGTGACCTACTTGGACCTGCTGCAGAAATATTGTTTCGCTGCACAGTGGTAAACTATTGTTCGTGGTGGCAAACAGACGGGGTATGTATGTTGAGTCACGTGACTAGGATTATCTGTAATGTCGCCTTGGTCGAGCGCCAGTGTTCGATTTTTCACAGTCCTAATTCAGGTGTTTTTTTACATATAGTTTTACGTTATTGAAAGTTTTACATCGCAGGGAAGGGTTAAATGAAAGGTCATGCCGTATTTTTTGACTAAATACGACCCCGTTTTGATTTGTGTTGCTGCACCTATCGAAGACACAGTACATCATCATCGCGACGGGGTTGGATAATAACATTTATACCACAGGAATTACTTAAGTGAAATATTTTAATAAAAAAATAAACATTTGTTTATTTCTTTCTTTTAATTTTCGTACTTTCGACTATTTCGACCATTTTAACTCGTGGAAGTTACACCTAATTCACGACATTTAATTCAAGTTAATGCGCGTGTGCCAAGTTCAGCAGACACATTGTCCTACCAATGGCGGCCAAACGTTTATTTAAATATTATCTTTGCGATTGCATATAATTGATTAAGATATTTGGGGGGGGGGGTATTTAAAACCTCGTTTATTAAAGAACGCCACCACGTGGTCACTTTGATTTGGGGGGGGGGGGCTCTTACCACTCGCGTTGCAGACCTGAATCCATGGGTGCTTGTAAAATCACGATGAAACCTCTTAGTTCTGATGCGTTGTCATAAGCTGACATGCCCCCGTGTCCTAAGCACACATTAATTACCGAAGTTCAGCTTAATGTAATCTTAGTTATTCCTAACATTTTGGTCACATCTGATGTGTAGTCATCGAGAGAAAATAACAATATAGATAAGTTTGCTAGGAAGAGCTGTTTCGTTGAGTTCTGAAATACAGACGCGACCGGGGCATAATATGATCGGAAACACTCCTTTTTAAAAAGGTTAAAGACAACTTTAAAGTTTAATGTCATGGTTTGGATGCTGATAAGTTGGACTTTTTTTGGTTGGCGTATTCAAAATCACATACACGTGTTCCGACATTTCATTCATCATGATAGTAGACTAATACTGTAAAACACGTATTTTGTTTAGCTAACATGACGTTTCGGCTAATTTAGCGAAAATGTGCAATTTCTGATTTAACAGAAAGTACATTCCCACAATGAGATTGTTGGCACTTTAGCTGAATTAAAACTCTGTTAATTTGTGCATTGTCAGCCAGACAGGCTCGATAAAAAAAACATGTAGCTATTTCAAAGTATTTTATAGTATTCTTTTGAATTTTCTCAACTTGTCTCACAATGTATTAGCGAATAATACCACAATACAGATACATTCAATAACAACATTTGGACGTGTACAAAAATCTATGAGTGCCCCCTTATACCCTTTATTAAATCATATTACCAAGAAGACTCTCAGCAAACGAGTGATACCGAATATAGGGAAGAACTGTATTAACT